AAAAGCAGTTATCACAATGACAAAACTATATTAAATGATATATTTCTTGTGAAGCAGTCTTTTGTCTGATGATAACCGATATTTTACCCCAAAATTTACTTTTCATTTTTTGAATAATTGAAAATCCGTTTTCATCGATTTTTTGATCGTAGCCGGATTTAAGTTAATTTGTATGACGCAGTTATGTGCCGTCATAATGGCGCTCTGTGACTTAGGCAGGAATGTGTCTATGACTTGGGGACATGCTTGACCGTATTCTCAACGCTAAGGTTATCGTGCCGTTCCCGAATGCACGACTTTTGTTGTCAATTGCTGCGGGGTGGGACTTGATCTGCAATATTGATGTGATGATGATCAGATAACGATATTCGGTGATATATTAAATATAAATTATATTAAATGATATATTTCTTGTGAAGCAATCTTTTGTCTGATGGTAACCGATATTTTACCCAAAAATTTACTTTTCTTTTTTTGAATAATTGAAAATCCGTTTTTATCGTGCTTGACCGTATTTTCAACGCTAAGGTTTTCAACATCAATTCGAAGCAATTCAGGAAAAAAAGGCTTGATTCTATTTAAAAATGATTACATAGATAACACAGGGCAATTGCACGACGCAGCGGCGCAGTCTCGATATCGACCCAAAGCATCTATTTTCCTTGTGTTTACAGCTTTCCAAAGTCTAACACTCCCAGAGTTGTTATATTTTATATTGGTAGCAGCTTTAGAGAGGCCAATGGTCATTTTTTCATTAATTAAAATGTTACGAAGTTCCACAAATATTTCAATATTATATATAAAGGTTTCTTTAAATTATCTACACAATATCAATATTATTATTATAATAATATTATTATAATAAAACATCATTGCTTCTTATAAAATCATGGCGCAAACGGTACTAAGTAGCGTTTATCATTTGAGTGTATTTGAAGATCAATTTAGAAAAAACAATCACTAGATACTAGACAACCGGTATTGTATGTAAATAAATATGTAACCACTAACAAAAAATAAATCTCATGTGAAATATATTTGATAGTTGATAAATCCGTGGAATGTGTTTTTCTATTAACTTTATTTCTTCTTTGGGTTCATTATTGTTATTTTATCAAAATTTATACTATATTTCTTCCAAATTAAAAAAAAGTCAACGATAATATACTAAATAGAATCAGATTCGCCGGTACATTGTGATTCGAAATTCGATTCGAAAAAAATATATTCGAAACTTACATCCCATCACAATGCTTCCAAGGATAGAGCCGGACCAGTGAGCAGGGGCGTAACTACCCATTGGATCTTGTGGATAAATTCAGGGGCGACACGTTGCTTGAGGGCGGGAAAACGTTATAAACGAAGCGGAAACACGTTTTAAATGAACCAAGGCAGTCACATTAAACGACCTAATTTAACACGGAAGCCAAAAAATCACACAAGATATACGTCTAAACCAGGTGTTTTATGGCTCGTGGCCCACTTCCAGCGCCCTTTTGCACTCGCGGTCTCCGTGTTCGCCATTCCAAAAAACGAAACGTGTTGGATTGTATTATGTGTTTACGACCAATTAATGCAAAAGCAAACCACAGACAAGAAAGTACACGCACTCCAGTATACAATCAAAGGGAATCTTGTGCTTAGGACTGTCTGACAAGGTTTCTCGTATTAGGCACAGACTTTTTTTATAGCTAGACGAATGTCAATGTCAACATCAAGACGGTTTATAAATTTTGTTTTTGTGATAATAAAAATTGGCTTTGCTCCGACAGAAACCCGAACTTAGTCAATGTGCGTTCCTGTCAAATCTAACTCGCTTGGCAGCAAAGAAACCGATGCCAACGTCTTTCACCGGGGGTGATTATTGTCAATGTCGCGGTATTTTGGAGTTCAGATGGACGTAATGATTTATTGCTCATTACATACGAGCAATGTCAGCATTTTTCACATTCTCTGGCATCTCAATTTACTTTAGTAAAGTCAACGGAACTGTTGTTGTTGTGTTTAGGTCATCTGTCTGTGCTTGAAGGCCCGGGAACGCAGCTATTCATGTGTTCAGCCAAAACGGAACTGTAGTTCCATTTTCGTGATTGCGTCTATAATACGCTACCGAAGGTTATCTCGCAGTCGAGTGGAACTGCCATTCTGTAGGTGAGACCATATTATATATACGCTCTGGGTGAGACCAGACGGCTTACCGGCGAACTATTTTCATTGGTAGATTTTAAATTCCATTATGATCAAATAATTCACGCTCAAGAAAGTGAATACACCCTGTGATCGCGAATAATCCTATTCAGGTAATGAAACTGCCGTGGAAAGTATGCAAACGAAGTCGCTTTATAATAAATTATTAATATTGTGTCGTGGCCCCCTTCGAACTGCATCGTGCCCCCGTAGGGAGCACCCGGATGAGAACCACTGGACGTCCTGCAGTGGTTTGCAAACATCGTTTATGTTAATCAACACCTTATTTATTCATGAGTCTCAAGCTTTACCTCACTGTTGCCGTTTCTTTCACAAGCTGCGAATAAATAAGTCAAAACCTAAGTTGATAAAGTTTTACTCGAGATCGATTATGAGAGAAAGCAGGCTGTCTGTGCCAGCAATACTGCCCATTGGAAGTGATTTAGTCGAGACATTATTATCCGTTGACGATATAATTTCTGAATTTGCTTCAATTAAAACTAGACATTGAATTTGAAACTTTCGATAAAATTTACTATTTAATGCTTTAATTCTTCTGTTGTGTGGAATTTTATTCAGCTTTTACGACGGTATCGAGGGGGCGGCATTTCGCGAAAAGATCCAGGGGCGCCACATTGCGTTGTTACGCCACTGCCAGTGAGTAGCCTATCCTATCAAGTGCGACAGTTCAAAACGTGTTATGTGCACGTTCGGAGGCAAATATTGCTGTGAGCAGCTCCATTTAAAATGCATTACACATAGCGTCTTTTGAACGACGTACCGCTGGCAAGTTGCCATAGAAAACATCATTCTCCACATTAATAATAAGTATATAAAAATAATGTATTGTTGGATATTATATTAAAAAACGCCACGTACACACTTCATTGTGGCAGGCTCATAACGCAGCAATAGAAGGTACTTCAATCGTAAATATTGTTTAAATGCGGAAATATTATGGCCCGCGCGCTCCTGGAAATGTGCAAATTTGGCTCGAAAGTAGCGGTACATAATGTTTGCCCACCACTGACACAGGCTATGCGCGCCTCTCTTGTGTCGTGTCATTGAGGAGGCTTGAATCTCTTCGAGTCTTTAATAAAAAACGTGACTTGAGTCTTGTAGTAATGGACCTTTCCTCGAGCATCGACTTGGGCAAGCGTGGTCGTAAACGTTACCTCGTATTCGCGTTTTTGAACTCTATTCGTTAGTTTTCAGTTGTGTTTCGGAAACTTAAATATAAATCAGATAATTCAATGACCACTATGTCTTCCTAGGAGTTTTAATTTGATTGCAGTAATAAAAATTAGCGTAGAAATAGCTGTGATAGACTAGGCTAAAATTCTTTACCGGTACTTTTAAAAAACAGATTGTTGTATGCGATGAATCATAATGATCGTTTGAAACACATACCCCATTTTACAGGCGCCAACTCGCAAAAGCACTCCAAAAATAGCCCCGAAAATCTTGCAATGGTAAAGTATAGGAAGAATATTCCGGGAGTGAAAGGTCCATATTGTGCATTTTATCAAGTTATCTTATTTCCGTACATTGTAACATTTGTGTGATCTCACCGTGATTTCATTATGAATTGTCCGTGGAGGCCTGTTAGTCGTTGGTGGATGCCGTCTCTGACAGTGCTTGAAGTTATATGACAGGCTGTGGTTCGCCGTATGATTGAGCCATGTTTTCACCTTCTTTCTACCCCTGAATAAACACGAAAATTCGATTCTTAAAGAAGAATTACGTTTCCCGTTGATTGAGCCGTTTCAACGGCTTTCCTCTTCTCTGGATAAATATGAAAATTCAATGAGGAATCATAACCAGCAACTGCGTGACTATCTCAATAGTGACATCATGCGATTAAATATAACCTTCCAAGTTCGGCAAACAGGAAGCGCAGTTCTTATTTCTTACCACTTCACGGCAGCTCCTGCCATTTGTTGGCGTAACCAGTAACCATTGAAATCATGATTGAAATGCAGTAACCACGGCAGCTCGCTATTGGTTTGTGGCAGCTCAAAAAGTCAGTCGCAGTCGCCGTGGGTTTGGTCATGGCGGCCATGGTTTGGAAATCCCGCCATGGTTTTGCGGCAGCTCTAGACGCCACAAAATACTTGAAACTACACTTGGCAAACAGGGTGTCGTGTGCAGTAGACTACGGTACCGTACCTACTGTTATCATATTTATACATCTTACACTCAGTGGTTTTGGGTCTCGTGTAGTTTCGTACCTAACGTACTTCTAGTAGGCGTAGCATAACAATTTTTTGACATGCCAATCCTAACCCTCACCTGACTACGCCATCCAAAAATTACGTCACTACGACGTCACAATCACGTCATAGAGCTTGTCAAATACTCGTACGATCGCCCGAAATAGCATCGGCGCCGACGATAAAGAACTGGCTGACGTCAGCGACCTCTCTCCTATCGGGATCGTTGCGACGAGAAAACGAGAGAAATGGCTGTTCGATTTCGGGTTCTCGTCTGCGCGTCTTGGATGACAGTTCGCATAGTTTGAAGCGCTCTATTACGTCACTGTGACGTCGTAGTGACGTAATTTTTGGATGGTGTGGTCAGGTGGGGGTTAGGATTGATATGTAAAAAAATTGTCATGTTATGCCCACTAGAAGTATGTTAGGTAAGAAACTACATGAGACCCGTGCTTTTTGGTGTGGGTATTCAGTTATTTCTGTATTATTACTAATTCTGTAATTTCAGATTTCTGTATTTTACTATTTTTGCAATGAATAGAAATTCAAGGCACAGACTTAACTAAAAAACATCCTTCTGTTCTTTTGTTCAAACATCCTGGATGTTTTCAATATTACGAATTTTATTCAAATATAGAAAATAGATTTCACATTATTGTTTGGGCTCAAGACTAAACTTACAGTAATTAGGCCTATGTGAAGTGATTTTAAAAGTCATGCTGCCAATGTTACAATCAATGCCATGGATTTAATAAAACTCTTCAAGCGGCAGAAATCTGTAACGAAAAAAGAGAAAAGTCCTGAACCAAGTGTGGAAGAAAACTCAAATTCAGAGAAAAGTTCCACCTCATCTAGTGTAGATAAGCCGTGTGATTTGAACCTAAACTTGAAGCCAACAGACAGTAATAGTGGTAAAAGCTGGAGAAAATCTATTCGAAAATCATTTCGTAAAAGAAAACAAACTTTCCAAAGTAATTCATGCGATAACATTCTTCATCAAGGAATGTCAGACAATAATGAAGCAACATCGAACACAATATTATCTCGTCATTCCAATCGTTGGTCGTATTCTCCCGATCATTCTGGAATTCCTTTAGACCTTGGTGACATGCATGAGACATTGATGTCACGTCGACATACTGAAGGCCAACTTTTAGTTGAAGTTTTACCCGTCAATGCAAACTATCAAAATGCGAACAATTCAAGCCATACTTTCAATTCGATGCCTGCAAGTGTTGGAGGATCTAATGAAGTTTATCGCGGTAATATATCCAACCAAAGTGAAGCCAATCACACCAATCGTCACATGAGCACATTCAAGGATCCCATTTCTCCAATATCGCCAGGTAATACTTGTTTTCATTATAGAATCCGGTGTGGTATTTGCTTAGAGGTTATATCAGGCATGATGCGGTGTGGCTTTCTTTATGTTGTTTATGTCTTCCCATAAAACTGTAAAATGGATCACATCGACTGACTTACCAATTGCTTGGGAGTTTTCTATGGAATTGGAAATTGAACGTTATTTATGCAGGATACTTTTAAATTCAGTTATATTATAAATTTGGCATATTATAAATTTTTTTTGTGGGGGAATTATAGCGTACATTAGAAAAGGGGTACATCCTAGATGACAATTACCAGTTAAAATTAATACCCGCTATCCATCTAAGAATGATTAACTGATGAAGTGAAATCCCATGTCACTACCTTACTCAGGTTGTGATAAATTGGGTAGCCAGTGCTGAATCTAAAAGTTTCTGGTCTTCATAAAATAAAAGTAGCGATCCACATCGCGTTGAATGCTTGTGCTCGTTTGGAGTGAAACATGTATATAAGTTTCACATTAAAAATTCTCCAGCACTTTTTATAATTCAGTAGTTCATTCATGCCAATTTCAATGTCAAAAAATCTAGTAAATAAACTGTGAAAATTATTACTCAAAAATTGATAAATCATCAACATGAATTTTGTGAGCGAGGATAAAGAGTAGGCTAGATAGTGGAAAATATAGATATGAATTTTACCAAACATTTTTGAAAGAGGAAATTGAAATTTTGTGAGCGAGGATAAAGAGTAGGCTAGATAGTGGAAAATATAGATATGAATTTTACCAAACATTTTTGAAAGAGGAAATTGAAACTATTGGATATGATAATTGTTTTAACATATTATACAGGAAGCTTTTGGATCTTTATAATTTCCTGATTTATAATGACCCAAGTCATTGCCCTTTGTTGAATACCATGGCTTACACTGTATTTAGCTGTGTGGTACTTGGAAGTTTTTATTGTAAATTGCTCTATTAAATATGTGGTTTAATTAATTTTTTATGTACTGAGAATGAGATATTAATCAGGTTCAGTTTTCAGTGTTTAAAATTCTTTTTCATGATTTTTAGATTCACTCAGCTCAAATTCTGCTGGATATGATAGAAGAAAATTTGGTATGATTTCAACATTTTTCTTTGAAAATGAACTCAATTGTACGTTTGAGTTATGTATATGTAATTTATTTATTGATGGATTGAGGTTTGTGTGCTTCTCTATATTACTAGTATCACAAAGAAATCCTTATTTGTTTTTATATTCATTTCATTAAATATATATTGCCATTTGACAATATTTGATACAATGCAAGTGTACCATTAACAATCCAATAATAAAAAAAAATCAGCTCCAAAATTATGCTATTTTTAAAAATTGCTATTTCGATCGAAAAATTGTTCATCATTGCAAAACCATGCTATTTTTTCACATTTTTACATTTTTTAATATCTTTTTTAAATATACTTTGATTTTGAGGTAATTGCAAATTCAATTAAATTTAGAATTGAAATGTACCTGTATCGCAAATTATATTACACCTGAGAGCTTGCTTTGAGACTGATCCAAAATTAAAAAATAAGTTATTTAATTAATAGCTCTATTATACTTGCTCTTCTAGATATTCAGCCTCATGCAACCCTTTTTGAACATGAAGCTGAATCTGCGTTTGATCATTTTCATAAAGCAGAGAAGCAAAAACATGAGCCAGAAAATTTTGAATATGAACAGGTATAATAGTCTAAGACTGCTTTGCTTTCTTGTTATGACTTCTCATTTCTCTGCATCATCATTTACATTTAGTAAGTTAACTTGGTTGTACGGATATATGTTTAGGGATTTGATTTTATGTTTCACTGGTCAGTATATAATATTGGAGTAAAAAAGTCTTGATTTATTTTCTATTTATTACTGAACATTAGACAATTTCAAGTCTGACGATATCTCTGTTTAGATAAATACATCAGCTGCTAGTGCTATATATGGTAGTGATTTGTTAATTAACAACTACAAGTGTGTAAGCTTCAACATAATATGGCTGTAATTGTAAGGTCTTAAAATTCCTACAGTTTACATTTGTGGTCGTTTATTTTTATACCTATGTTTTTAGTACTCGATCCAGATAGAAATGCTTTAGCATATTTTTAGTAATTTCAATCAATATTATTACCACTTAAACCACACCACAAATGTGTACATTGGAACAAAAAAAGATTAAAATTAAAACTTTGAAATCTAAAATTGCGTTGATTCAATAAATAAAATTATAGCTAAATACCAGTATAGCCAAAATATCGAGCATATTCTTCACTATTCTATTACTGTGGTTTAATATTGAGTTGGAATTATATTTAAAATTCTAGAATATGGAAAGTTATTTAAGCTTTAAAATTTGAACATTCTTGAAGAAATGCTGAGAATATTGATATAGGAACAGAAATTTGATTGTCAACACTCTGAAAAATATGTTTGCGTATTCGAATTTGACTCTATTCAAAATAAATGTTCTATAGTCATTTTCAATAATATAGCAACAACACCAAATTTCCGAATTCAGGTTTTAAACATATCCAAAACAATAATTACACTTTGCAAAAAAATCATCACTTCAAGCAAACGCTGCTTAATTAATAGCTATTCTTTTTGAAAATTAAAGTTTGAAACTATTTTTTAAATAATATTATTGTCAATATTAAACTTCATTCTTAATAGTGAGAAAAATTGGGTTATAACTAATAACATAAAAAAAGTGAATTACATTTAAAATTATGTATTATCCATTTTTGAAACTTTTTTGAAAGAGTAAAATCATGACAAATATTACCCTATGTACATCTCAATAATTTTTTAGTAGAAGTTTATATTACCAGCAGCTATGTCATGCTCAATTGCTGATGGTTGATTTATAACAAAGGGAAGTTTTGTCTGTTCTTTTTTATGTCATTCGATGAAGCGTAAAGTTGTGAGATACTAGAGCCTAGAGGGCATTCGAGTTCATTGTTCAGTATTATCAAGTGGTTGGAAAAAACTTGCTTATATATACTAAACACATGATTATCCCAGCAATGTGTTGAGTTGAACTAATAAGTTGTGTAACGGTCTATTTTTCAATTTTGAATTTACTTTGAATGTAAATATTGTTTATATCATTTATTGCTTTTCATAATATTCAATGTGAACAGTATTTTAAATGAAATTAATTTGAATTAGCTTGATTTTCTCACTTTATGCAAAGTGATAAGCAAATTGTAATTTGTTATCATTGTTTTGTTAATACAGGGTGCTCCCCCCCCCCCCCCAAAAAAAAATCCTAGGTTATTTGGAACATATTCTATAGCCTAGAAGTTTTGTGCTAAGCACCCTAGTTTAACGATACTTTGGGTTTTGGGTACAATCATACACAAATAGTAGTAGTTCAAGTGTTAAATAAGTTTTCTTCATTTTCATGTGAGTAATTAAGAAATTCATGGATTCTGTTTTTTTTTTGTCACCCTGAATGAATATCTTTGATGGCCCTATCCTATGGTTGAATTTCTTTTAGTTTTCTGCCCTATAATAACAGTGCTGCACTACAAAGTGAAGTCAACCTTCTAAAAAAACTCACTGAGGCATATCCCAAAAAATTCATGTGATTATTTCGCTACAGAATGTATGAATTACCCATTAAAATTCACTAATATTCCACAGTTATTATTAAATTGTGTATCATATTCCAAGCATACCCTTTTATGAGATATTCCTTTACTAATGACAAACACTACAATAGTATTTATTAATATTGCAATTCGTATAGTAATTCGGCAGATTTATTTCAATAGCCTGACATGAAAATATACATTGTTATCCATTATTGTCAGTTTTCACAAAGGCAATTATTGTCAAAACTGTTCAAATAATTTGATAAATCCATCTTGTCAGTGTTTGATAATTATTAAAAAAAAGAGGTGTTACCCACAATTTTTTAGTTTTTTTAGGCCAATAAGTAGGCTATTCACTATCATTTTTGTTTTTTATGGCTTTCCAAAATGTGACAAATTTATGAAGATGTTATATAACTGAAACTTTTTTTTTCTGCGATTGTCTACATTGAATATTTCTTGCCAGCGGTCATCAAAATAATTTATAAATGTAATTATGGTCAAGATTTGATTCTAGATTTTGAGGAAAAAGAATAGATGATGTATGCTGGGAACTGGATTAATATTACAGCACAATGCAACATAGTATACCCCTTCGTAAATAAACCTTTTACAAATAAATATCGACTTTTGAATCTTTTCAATTCGCTGGTATAAGCAACACTGATATGTAGTGAGGGCCTATTCATGGAAGTACCAGAAAGACTAGTTTGGCATTGCATACCCAATTTATTACAACTTAGGAGAGGAAGTGGGTGGGGTGCTTGAACCAAAGCTTTTCAATTTGTAATGCCAGAATGATGTGCTATTTATGGGATAAACAGAACAAGACCAGTTTGGCATTTTTACCCAATTTTTTACAACTCATGTCAGGTCTCGGCAGCCTACGGCCCGTGGAGCAATATAATTTGGCCCGCGACGCTTCACTGAAATATATTAAAAATTATAGCTGTTTTGTCGATTGTAATCTCAACGCAAAAAAAATTTATGTGTAGACTAAATTATATTACAACGTAACAACTATATATATTAAACAATTACTCGTTTAATGAGCCTATAAATTAATTATAATTTAGACAAATGGCAACAAAACGCAGAAAAGTTGATGCTAAGTGCAAATGGTTTGATGGCGCAAAAAATGTTCAAATAGTCAGTCTTCGCGCTTCTTAAAATTTAACTTCTGATCTTTGTGAGGAAATGTGATTCATCGGTCATCCATTCGATTTTTAACTTTCTAAAAATATGTGCGGCTCGCCAATGACCTGCAAGTGTTGCAACCTTCAATTTTAGCCCGCGAGCGACAAAAGGTTGCCAACCCCCACCTTATGTGGTTGTGCAGAATGCATGGATGAGAGAACTTGAATTTGCAATACCAACATAGTCCAACACTCCATTAGGCAGTTAGGCTATCACTTCATTTTCATGTTTTAGTTCGAAGGAGTTTTTAAAATACAGCATTGAATGAATTATTAGTTACTGTTCTTATTATTGTGAATTTTAGTGGCTGCTATTTAAAGTAATTGCGATCAACATTATTTAATCTCATCTTTTTTCAGGTTATTCCTAACACAAATGGCGAGATTCCAACATCTGAAGAATATCAATCTCATGAATATACTTATATTGCGGATGATGCGGTAAGTTCTACTATTTCTGATTTGCAGTGTTTTATCGAGAGGAGAAATACAACTTTATTCATTCTTCAACTATGAGTCCAGAATGAATGAAATATTTGAATTAATTGTATTTGATATTAGAATTTTGTATAGATTTATATGAAAATCATCATTTTTAGCTATTTATTTCTCACATTATGACAAAAAAGACTGTAAAAAAAAAACAGAATACCAATCAAATCATTACTCATCTTAACTTCCTTGCATTTGCAAAGTCGAACTCATGAATATATATTTTGACTTTTATGTGTTTTTGACTGAACATGACTCAATTCAGAATATTATCCATATTCTATATTAAAAATAATATTTTTGAATGTTCATCATGGAAATAGTAGTATATTCGATTTTGACCTACCCATGATTCCAAGTCATAAACAGAATACGAATGATCTTGCTTGGATTTTGTAACATGCCTATATGTCATTTGCCTTTATACTCAAATATACAATGAGCTTCATGAAAATTTCCCAGAATTTTTTCTAAAGTTTTCAGTTGTCGATCACGATCTGTAAATGCTTTTGAGTTTTTTGTATCACACGCATGCTCGATCCATACTAAACTATTTTCATTTTCGGGGTGTACAATTTCAACAAAAGAAAATGCTTTGTGTTTAAGCATAAAGAAATCTCTAGAGAATTTGGTCTAAAAATTTTGTGGCGTACCGACCGATACTTTCAGACGATGTCACTTGTAAATATACAATTTCTCATTTTTCTCGTTTGTGGAAATATTAATATTGAATTTTGTTTTTGTTTGTTTTTAAAAGCATCTTTGGAAATCTAAGGTAAGAAGAGATGAACAGAATTTCATATCATATAAGATGAATTATTTCGAACTATCCAATCCATTATTTTTTCAAGAAACCAGTTTTTCCTAAAATTAATTTATTATTGAATATAAGGAAATCAATTTGAGATTATATAAAATAAAATATATTTTGTTTCGGGAAATACCATATTGCCGACTAATATGCTAATTTCCCCCAATTTTCTGTGGTCGCCTTATTGGTCAACTTTGCCCATCTTGCTTTCCCCATTAGTTTTCATGAATCAGCAGTATCACACAGTGAATCTGGAATAGCTCTGCTGTGATTATTATATTCGGAGTTGCCACATTTGTCTGTTCATCATGAGCAAAAGCAATTATCGATACCATCATGTATAGTAAATCATAAAAACATGGCGCTATGGCGCATGAATTGTTAACATGAACTAACTGAGAAAATAGGGGTAACATAGAATCTATAAAATAGAGCACACATTGGTGCTTAATCAACTAACGAACAGAGAAGTAACCCTATGTTTCTTTCTCATCTTTTTGGGCGGTAATATGAAAAAACCTTCATTTTAGTGCTAAAAATGGGCTCCTGCTCATTAGCTGGAAAATACAGTATGTCGAAGGTTTAGGAATAATCAATCTAACAAATTAACAACTGGCAATTCATATTATTTTTGCAGGCTGATGATAACATATCGTGGGGTTCAAATGAATTTTCAAACTCTGAAGACGAGGAAGAAGAAGAAGTATATGATAATGAAATACTGGAAGAAGGTCTCGGCAAAGTTCATAACGAAGAAAAAATTTCATTTTTTTTTAGAAAAAATCGTGAGGTAAATTGTAATATGATTATAGCAGGGAAATGTTAACAGTTGACTTCAATTTTGAATGCATGAGGAAATCGAATTGTTATCATGGAAGCTTTGGTGTATGTAATAGACTGTCAGGAACACTTTGTTCATTTTGACTTAATTTCACTTAATTCATTTTGAAAATTTCAATTTGATTCCATCATTCATCATCTTTTGTGGTTTTCCAGGAGCTCGGAAAATTAAACAACCAATATATTAGTAATTTGATTAACAGAAATTTAAAATTCTGGTTCTTGAATTATGAAAAATAAGGTTTTCTTTTTTTGTTTTAACAGTCGGGTAAAGATATAACAGCTGCAGTTAGGAAGTTGAAATTTCTCCAAAGAAAAAATGCATTGACAAAAAAAGTTTCTAGAGGTTTGATTTGAATTTAATTTCCCAAGATGGTTGTGAATTGCGATTTTGAGGGTGCAAATTGTACAAAGAATAATAATATTATTAAATGATATAAAACAGATTTAATCCAAAAATTTTGTCCACCTAGACTGGCGGGCCATGTGGGTAGAACGTAAAAAGTTACATTTTATGTACAATACTTACAAATAGTTACAAAAGCAAAAGTGGAAAACAGTAATGCTTGTGACGGAACTAAATTTAATCGCAATCTCAACAAATTCCCTGAGTTATTTTTAGCTAAAACATCAAAATTTGGTTTCAGTTAGGTTGTCGCAGCATCAGGTGGGCCAGATTGAATTATCCAACGGGCCGTAGTTTACCCACGTCAGATATAGCCTTTAAGCAAAGCATTGCACATTTCTGATATAAAAATTCGTTTTCAAGAAATATATATTTTCTATACCTAATTTGCGTTCCAATATCTACGTTTTATTCGTTTCTTTGTTTTAGAAGAGGAACTGAACACATTTATTGACGTTAAACTTTCTAAAGATCGACATCCAGGACCGCATTTACGGCCCGCACCAGAACATCTATTGCCATATCAAAGTCGACGACGAAACATTGTTGAAACAATCATAAACAGCGAATGTTCGTACATTGACTCGTTAGAACGACTCGAAATAAATTACAAGTAAGAATAATTGATCAGTTTGATAGTTTTTTTCACTGAAGATGAAATTAAGTAAGTTCCATTTGTTGTCATTTATTCTATCATGTCAGGGGTCGGGAACCTTTTTGGGCAAGAGAGTCATGAAAGGTACCGGTACATATTTTCAATTGCTTTTCCGGTGCGAGCCATATAACGTTTTTCATCACCTAATCATGTCTTGAATTTTTACTCAAAAGTCAACACATAAAATGTCGATACTGTATACAATTAGGGTTACTTCTGGTGCTGCATGTTGTCGCTGAGGGCCTTGAACGACTGCTCACATGCAACACAAGTTGAAAGCCGCAATACTCATGACCTTTCTTTCTTTTGGGCATTTTGGGCATCTACTCAGTGCTTTAAAAATTAGCTTTGCTGGTCCATTCTGAATATTACAAATAATCAGTACGAACAGACGAAATATTTTTATTTGTTTATTGCTCCGCGACTCAATTGCTTCGTGATATCACAAACGATGGCATGAGTGGTTCAGCTTCTGCGCTTTTTTATACATTTATATCAATTTGCTGAAATTAAAGCATGACCATAAGTGTTTTCAGGAAACATAAGGTGAACCCAAAAACTGAACCCAGGTCATCCAGGAACATAATCCAGAGAGAACATAACTTTTTTGCAAAATGTCATTGCTGAAACTTTTGGGTACAAATTACAATCATATAAAAACAAAAAATTAAATAATACTAATGTAAGAGATTGTGTTTTCATACATCTGAGACTAGACTAATCTGTAAGGTGATTAAAAATTACCGTATATATAATATATCAATGTAGTTAAAGGTGACAAAATTCCTCTCAAATTTCTACAGGAAAGCTCTACTTGATGCAAAACCAGTTATTATTAGTTCCGATCACATCGAAAAAATATTTTATAAAATTGCCGATATATTACAATCTCATCAATTGTTTCAAATCGCTCTTGCCGCAGCTGTCAATAATTGGGACGATCACGAAACTATCGGTGACACATTTGTAGCTTCGGTAAGTTATTTATTAATTTGGAAAAAAATTTAATTTCACTATTTTACAGTATGATATATAATACGTTCCATTTTCCAATATTGTAAAATTTTACCATGTACATATGGTAAGAATTTTAATTTTGATACAAAAGCATTTTTAGTAATGAAATAATACAGTGATATTACTGTAAAACCAGAGCAACTCAGGTCACATTATTTAAACAATGGACTTTTTAGATTTTCTGTCATTATGGTCCAGGGACTTACTTTTACCTGTGTTTCAAAGATATTAGGTTTTGCTGTTAAGATCTTAGTATGTTTTTTAGGCCAGATGTGAAAATTACAAAAATGTGATTTTCTCAAAACCTCAAAATGGGACATAAGCTAATTTAGTTCTATTGTGGCGATGTAGCGCACTGTTCTTTGTTATGTTTTCCACAGATATAATTCCTGTGGTCAGAATATAAATAATTTAAATCTGAATCACTTATGCTAATTCTAACTATATATCCATCTGTGTTTCAGTTTTCCAAGTCAATGGTCCTCGAATGCTATAGCAGTTACATCAATAATTTCACATCTGCGATGGAACTTGTTCGGAAAACTTGTAAACAAAAACCACAATTTCTAGCGTTTCTTCGAGAAAGACAAAACGAAAGTCAAAATCGTCTGAATCTTTATGGATTGATGTTAAAACCAGTGCAAAGATTTCCACAATTCATTATGCTCGTGCAAGTATGGGAAAAATATTTCGCAACTGAATAGTTTTTATACCAATTATATAATGTTTTGTGCTATCTTTTGCTGTGTTTGCTGTGTAAGATGATAAAACTATTTTTATACCACATTAATTTAAGTCTACGTCAATATCAGATGAACCCTTGTTATAAAGTTTTGAATATTCCAATAGTTCCATGCTTTAATACCAATATACACTAAATTAGAAGACCACATTAATTAAGATGACTGTTTATTCTATAATAATTAATATTGGAATTAAAAAATGTTACAAAAAATTGACTTTATTAAAAAACTTCATTCTGCATTTGGCAGGGCGAGATAGTGAACTTTTATAGTGCTGGAATAACAAATGTTTTGAGCTCTTTATCCCATGCCAATACCGCGATAATCTAAAAAATTTTTCAAAATTTATTTGAGAATTTGTTTAGGATGATCAAAAATTTGACTCTTCTATTATTCATTCTTTGTCAACGATTTCAATTTTAGGATTTGTTAAAAAACACTCCAAATGATCATGCAGATCGTTTACCTTTACAACTCGCTCTCACTGAGTTAGAAACTCTAGCTGAAAATCTTAATCAACGACGAGCGGATGACGAGGAACAATCTGAGATGATTCAGTTACTTGAATCGAGTAATATCAAACTTATGTCTAACCATACAAGGGATGGACGTACAAGAAGATTATTGAAACAAGGTTGGTCAATGAGGTTTTTCATTAGTTTTTGTGGATTTACTATTTTGCAATATCTAGAGAACATAGCATGAATAAAATACATAGTTTAAGACAGTGGTTCTCAAACTTTTTAAGCCTTTTTTGTAATTGGCAAGTATTGCGCCCCACCTCAAAAATAACTACCGGTTGCTAACAATAAGCTACAAATAACAGTAAGTAAGGCGAAAGTATATTTTATTCAAAAAAACATGTTGAAAATACTTGGATGCAATGTGAATAATGAAATAAATGAAAAGTTTTGACATATTAATATCCATAATTATTGGGGAAACTTCAAATCTAACAAATATTTTTTTTTTAATTAACTTCATCTACATGCCTCCTCAAAAATTGTCTACGCCTCACCGTTTGAGGACTATTTTAAGATAATTGGAAAATGGTTAATTGTTTGCCAAATGTGTGCCAACGTTGAAAAATATTGAGCCTTGTAGGACTCTTGGGCCATTCCAAGCAAAAGTTGAATTCCATCAATTTTTTAAAGTGTAGTGAAAGTAATTTTTTTTTATTTTTGATATCAAAAGACATTGGAATTTTATTGGACTGCATTCATTTCATCGAACAATTTAAAATTTCACCCAGGTTTTTGATGGTTTATAAAAAATGGCCTGAAATGTAGAAATTTTGGTATAATTGACATATTTTGTGATGATTCCTGACACAAAGTGTTTGATTGTGTGGTACAGTTATTTCATATGGAATTGACACACTGGATTTAAATTAATAAAGTTTAAATATTTGCAGTGCTGTAGGACATTTTTTCACCCATTTAACGATTTATTACCAGAATTTTAAGAGATGATAGAGGCCGCTATTCCGAAGTGGAAAAATGTCCTGTAGTGTCACGTCCTGTAGTGTCACATACAATATGCACATTATTGGCATGGATTTACAGTGTTACATTAAGTAACTTGAGCAACACATAGAGAGGGTAGTTCAGCTACTGCACCAGAAAATATTATGGTCTCCTACTGTACCATCGCAAAAATTTACAGCACAACACAACGTACTGTTAGTGCATGGTGGATTTGCCGTCCTGTAGTGTCAGGCTATATTTTTCTATATTTTTTTTATCTACTAAGTAAGGTTGGGTGTAACTTTTGTGCAATTTTTTACATATTCAATAAAGCAACTGATTGGACAATGAAACAAAACATGTAGCTGAAAATGTGAAAATATATTAAATTTAAAAACATGCAAAATTTCTGGAATTGTCCTGTAGTGTCACTTGGAATAGCCCTCTTATAGTAGCCTACATTTGGGAAAATTAATGTAAAGACCTTCTAGCATCTTTCCACCCTTCAGTACTGAAAATTTTGAATGCATTTGTTCTTAAAAATGGTGATATTTTTGCCAACAACATTCCCAATTGAATAACAATTTAGCAAAACTAATGGATAGTTAGTTGCCTGACAATAGCTCAAAATACTATAAACACATACTCAATATTCGAGAATTTCCATCAGGCAACGGTATTTTTTCTAGATATTCCCCCTTCAATAGTGTTGACATTAAAATTTATCATGTCGCCTACATTTCGTAGTATTTCTAAGTAATGTCCTTGTCACAATAGCTGTTCTAATTATGGTGACTCTTAAAATCTCACTGGTTGCGTATTATGCAGTAATTTTTGCCTGTATGAGCGCTCTTGTGAGTGTGTCATCTTTACTTTTATTAAGCAATTCCACATTACGGTACATATAATGTATTCTTTAATAGTATTCGTATATAAATTTCTATCTTATGCTTTTTGTATATAGGTTTTGTTCGAGAACAAACTTTTGCTGATGATGGTACAATCGAAAAAGATCGTGAATGTTTACTTGTATTGACCAATGATATGTTACTCAGTTGCAATTGTACAAACAGGTAAGTTTTCGATGGAAAGAAGGAAGCTTGCTCATTTTAAATTTTTTGATATTGTATTAAAATTTGTCTAATGTTATGGACTCTAATAAAAGCATCTAATCTAACGATCATGATGATAAAAATTTACATCAGATTATTTTCAAGTGTAAAAGAAAAATGTGACTTATATCCTTTTATAGGAGGATATATCACTTATCCCAAAACTGAAACAGACTAGAAGTTACGCTGCTATAATGTAAATGAAACTTTTTGAAATAAAACTAAAATTTTTAATTATCATGGTCAGAAAGAAACAGAATTCAGAAGTGTTATTCTTAAAAACATATTTCATAAATTTAGATTAATCAATCAGATCAAGTTGTTTTTAGATTAAATTTCATATTGTAGTTGATCCCTCCTTATCCTCAATGCAGGGAGCATGAAAAAATTGAATCCAATTTTATAGATAATTTGCTAAAAGCAATGTCACACGCACTCACACAGAAGTACAGTAATGCCAAGAGAATGAAGAGATACTTAGAACTACTGGTATATGGATTCATTGTGGTGCATTACATGCTAGTAAATACTGATAGCAGTTAAAATCATTACTATCAGGAAACAATTATATGAGCTATTGAATCCCACATAGCTGAAAATACTTCATTCATGAATTATTATAATTTTTTTGTCATTTTTCCATCTCAGAAGACAACAGCCAAGAACACCGATATCCACGTTTCGAGATTTATACAAATTAAAATGGTGTGCAACATTAGATATATTATCAGTACTTGATGGTCATTGCTCTTCAACAGCCATCGAATATAATAAAATGCAAACGGATATGGCCACTCTTCAATCTATATGTAAGTTAATTTGTACATGAGAAATTTTCGACTGGAGTTTTCACACCAAATAAATCGTTTTACTTACTTTCATTTCTAAGTAATCCATCAATTTCAAAATTTAAAAATGTATTTGCCATGAAGAAATGTAACTGTCAAGATTCCATTTCACACCTTTTTTAACTATGGGAATTGAATTATTATAATTGTAAAAATTACTGTTTTACCCAACTTCGGTGTATGTCATAGATCAGGGGTCGGCTGCCTTTTGTCGCTTGCGGGCCAAAATTAAGGGTTTCAAGTCATTGGCGGGTCGCACATAATTTTAGAAAGTTGGAAACCGAACGAATGATACTTTTTATCATAAAAATCAAGCAGTGGTACATCTCTCGCTGGAATATAGATTTATTTCCTCATTGTTTGCATCTCAAAAAATCCCATTTAAATATTTTTGATGCCATTCGAACCCTTTGCACTTAGCATCAACTTTTCTGCGCTCTGTTACCATATGTCTAATTATAATTAAATTATAGGCTCATTAAACGAGTAATTGTGAATTTTAGACTTCTTAGATTATATTATAATTTAGTCTACACGTGTCTCACAATAAATTCTGTTACGTAAAGAATATAATCATCAAAATAGGCGTTTTGTTACTATAATTCAGTGAATCGGATTCGGCCCGCGGGTCGTAGGTTGCCGACCCCTATCATAGATTGTATCCAGTTTGTTTACCTTGATTTTTTCATGAGCGCGTACTCTGCTCATTCGGATTTTGTTACCTCAGTAACAAAGAAATTGCGAGTATACAATTCATGTTAAAATTATAAGAGAATCAAAGGGAGCTGTTTTAGGGCAAATGCTTTCTTGATCAGAATCTTACAATATTATACCTTATGACAGGTATGATGATTGAAGAACTAAATTTTCCTCACCAGGGATTGTCAGTTCAACAGATCGAGCCTTGTATCAATTCTCTGGAAGCAAGAATGAAGCAAGCAGAATTTGATAATAATAATTCAAGCGACATATCATTTTCTGTACATTTTCCACAAAAGTAAGCATCGCTCTGTGAATTAATTATCTATCATTACATGGATTGATTCGAAATGCTTTGTCAATCAGCACACCATGTTGGTGAACTCGAAAAGTTCCTTCTAACAATATTAATGTTGGTCTTGGACTGGTACATGATGGAAATTTTATTAAATGAAATATTGTAATTTTTTTATTTTTTGATGACTTGGTGTGCACTTTTTTTTGCTCTTTCTAAAGTTCTTTTTTTACAAGAGATATAAGTTTTTGAAAAATGATTTCTTTTCAATTTGATATAGCCTACTAAATTTACATCCTGGATGATAGCGCTTTTGCTGACTGCTGCTGCACTGCCAGCATAGTCAAGTCTCATGCTTCAACCATCAAGACATTGCTCCCGAAAATGATGTGAATGTGTTATCTAGGGGTGTCATAAATGTGACCAAATGGCAAAGTGTCAAACTTTCTTCTTCACAAACAATCTGCGTGAATACGTTTTCCTGGGACTCATGATCAGGGGCATAGTCAGGATTTTTCGAAAGGGGGGGGGGGGGGCTGAAATTTGTAATTGCCAAGTTAGATTGTAGCAGCTAGCGGGTCAGAAAAACGTGGGTCTAATTAGCATTTCAAGCTAAAAAAATTGTAATGTGGCATATTGAAATCTTTTTTTTTACATTTCAAAATGGGGGGCTTTCAACCTGCAAACCCCCTTCCTTGGTCCCTGCCCATGCTACAGATATTGCAGCTTTATAATCAAGAGTTGGGAAAACCCTCTAGTGGACTAAGTCTAAGCAATCAAAATTCTTCCTATCAAAAATCTTTGAGGAATTTTAAATGTAAAAATTTTCATTAATATTTATAACGAAATAATATGTGATATGTCTTTTTTAATGACAGATCTGGTGATTTTAAAAGAACGTTAGTTATGAGTGACAGTCAACATTGCAATGAATGGTTGGAAAGTATCATCAATGCCAAACTTGCCAATGGTTAGTATTATTCTGTCGTTCTGTTTCATCAAGTAAAACATAATTTAGCTGATATTCTTAGTAAATTTTCTCTTTCCTCTCCCCCTGGATAAATTCTATCTTATACATAAAGTTACATTACAGGTAACGGAACAGCAGTTATGTTGATCAGCCTACAGTATAGCATTATTCATTCTCTGATTAGCTTAAAACTTAATCAATGAGACTATATGACTCATTATCTTTAATTTATAGAGATAATTCTTCTATTCTAGATTCAAAAAATCTTCACTGCTGGTTCAGTGCTGATGGATCAGATAGTGAATATTTATGGAAACCTCCTTTATTCCTTGAATCAGTGAAATGTCAGGATTCACATAAGGCACTGCAGGTATTCATACTCCACATTCCATACCTTAGCAAGGTTATAAAATGAAATGAAGTGATTTCACCATTACCATTCATATATAATGAATTATGTGTTGCACACCATTATAATCAAGTATGGAACAGATAGTTCCAGAACAGAACCTGGATAGTTATCGAGCATCGTCTGTTGGTATAGATGCTGAGCCCAGCAGCACCTTGTGTGTATATAAACTTTTTTCTTGATTTTCTTCCATTCTTTTTATATGTCTGGTGCTTTTTAGTTGATTTTCGTTATTTTCTAGAATGTCTTCAACGGGGTCCAAACTTGGCAGTTGGTATAGGTGCCGAGCCCAGCAGCATCTCGGGTGTATATAAAAAAAATTTCTTGATCTACTTCCAATTTTCTATATGTTTGGTGCCTTTTAGTTGATTTTTGTTATTTTGCGAACTGTCTTCAGCGGGGTCCCAACTCGCTCTGCTTTAAGCTTGTCGACTACCAACCTGTCTTGTATTCTTATATCACATCATCTGTTTTTTATACATAAGGATTTACAAAAATATTGTTCCTTGACTTATATTTTTATTTCTGGCTAGTAATGTGTGGCCCCTGAATTTACTATGAATTCTTTGACGATCTTCATTGGTAGTCATTGTTTCAGAATTATTGTTTAATATCCAGATTTTTTATGTTCTTGTTTTCACAGGTTCAGTGTGCTTATGCATTCATGCCAGCAAATCACATCACCTTATTATGGTTAGCTTGTTCAGCCAGTACTGTTCTTGCTGCTGTTAATATTTATAAAATAATAAATGAGAAAACAGAAAAAGTTCATGTTATGCAGGTTTGTCATTGATTTAATAGAGTTATTAAATGTGGATTTATTGAACTCCCGAAGTGCTGAAACAATTACAGGGTGACCCCAAAAACAGAATGCAGATCATTTGGAACATGTTTCAGAGCAGCGGTTCCCAAACTATGGGTCGCGACCCACTGGTGGATCGCAAAAGGAATCTTAGTGGGTCGTGAAAAGATGTAGAAATTTTTTGTTAAATATACTGGTTATTAGGTTCGGTGGCGACTCGAATACGTAAATCTTTAAAAAAACAAAAGAAATTGAATTTAAATTCTAACATGAGAAATTTTCCATTTTACGATCTTCTCAAAGGAACAAAAATTTGCTACACAAAGAATGACCATTTGGCTTTTTTACGCATAGCAGTTTTGTACACTGTACAGCACTTCATACCATGTTTACCCGAAATTTAGACAAGATTTAGATTTATTTTCTTTTGAAAAATAACACTCTGTTTTTTTTGGAAGAGGCATTTTGTGTTCATTTATCAAAAATAAAATTACATTGTAGAAAATCACAAGTTTTTTCACTAAACATTATAAAAAATCGACATCCATTGTTTTTATTTGTATTTCCTTTACAAAAATCAATTGACAAATATCATAATTTTGATATCACTCAATCTTGAATGGTGGTGTGATCTTCACCTTACCTCAGGCCAATGAACCTTTCCTCTCCCACACATTTTAAATTTATTTTAAGGGTAGGGTTTAATTAAAATCATTTTGAAAATTCAAATTATTATCTTATTTTCAGGCCAGGTCTTATTTTTGAGGAAACATGGTAGTTTTGCGATGATTAGTCATTGCTGTGTTCTGTGTTATGTCATAAAAAAACAAAATAAAATTAAATTAAAGTTAAGTGGGTCGCCATAAACTGTGGTAATAAATAGTGGGTCCCAAACTCCCAACTCTAAAAAGTTTGGGAAGCACTGTTCTAAAGAGAACATAACTTTTATGCAAATCGTTCTAGATTGCTGAAACTCTCTGGTATAATCATACACAAAAAGATGTTCAAGTGTTGAATGATTTTTTATTAATTTAAGTAGAAATGATTAAGAAATTTATTGTTTTTTTTATCACCCTGTACTGACAAATCCTCACTACTCTCAATAAATTGGTTTGCCTAAAATGTTCGATAGATTTCCCTGATGCTCTGTAAATATACGCAGCATACACTGCATTGATTTACATTTATACTTCAATTTTTAGCGAACATGACTTACAGTCAACAAAATAAAAAATTTCATGTATTTCTGCTGTTCAATATGTCAACGGCATAGCTCTTTATAAATTGTCATCAAATTATTTATTTATGTAACATTGTCATACTGTGGTGTTGCAAGAGTTGATTCTCATCAAATATTTGTTTGCTCAGGTTGAAAGTTCTGTACAATGCATGGAACATTGGAATCCATATAATGAATCACCATCTGTATGGCTTGGCATGGAATGTGGAAGGTAAATCGCATAAGATAGGAAAATATTTTTGTGCTGCTTTTTATTTTAAAAGAAAAGTCCCAATGTCAAATTAAGATAATCCTTCTGAATTTTGGAGAATTGAAGTCAATGGACTCATTCATTGTGAAGAATACAAAAACTTTTTGAATATGAGTTTCGGTATATCTTACTAAAAGGTGCTAAAATCTCCACTTTTGACTTGTCGGGTACTCCTCATGCTATACGGCTTGTGCTGAGCACTCACTTGTCATGGGGTGGTTTACATTTTTGTATTGAATTTGTATGTCATCATTATGCCTGCTTTTCCAAAAGAGCAACTATCTCATCCTAAGACAGACAAATGTTAGAATAGACAGACACTTGCTAAACTTTTTTAACATTAAATTATGGAAATAAGATAATTATTATTTTAATCTATCAAATATTATTTCTGTAACAAAATTAACTCTCCTATTTTATTTTCTCACAGTTTAATAGAATTCAGTGCTGATGCATCGTATTCAAAACTTTGTGAAGTAACAATGCCAACTATGTCTACTGTTATGATTATGAAAGCTTTCGAAAAGAATTTGTACGTTGGATTGCTTGATGGAAGTTTGCTGATGTATACAAGACCTGACGGTAATTTAGGTTTATATATACAGTAATTCAGTAATTAGTAAATTAAGATTGGGGAGTTTTATCGAATCGAAAATCTTGAGTTTTTGTTCATTTTTGTTTGTACTATGTTATGAGTCGCTCATGATTTTGCATGCAACAAACCATGCTGTTTCTAACAGACAGCAGATTCTCTCCTTTTTTCTCTGAACGAAGCCCCAACTGCTAGGTCATTCATTCATCTATCTCGTTAAAAAAAAATTATTTGCCCGCTGTTGCAAAGGGATTATGTTACATCATTGGTTTCCTTCCTTTTTCAATAAATTCCTCCTTTTGTCTATTTTTGTCTATCTGCCTCACTAATCATAAAAACTTAGTTATTTGTTCGATTTTTAATGGATCTTCAGCTAGTTATGCGCAACTCGCCCTCCCTGTTTGTTCAGAGTTTAATAATAATAATGTGGCCTAAATATATATTATAATATTGATTAAGGACTAACCAACATTAGTGAAGCCACACCAAATACAAAGTAATATTCTTTCCAAAAGAACAAAATTACTCTTCGGTTGCGAAACCCTGTGTTATAGCTTATTTTGGATGTTGTAATCCTTATATTTTAGGTTGTAAAAGTCTTGTTCATGTACAATCAATCACAGTTGGTAGTGGACCTCTCAATTGTCTTTCTCCGCTGGACGGAAAATTATGGGGAGCATCAGGGAATGACCTTGTTACGATCAACTTGAAAAACTTCGAAATAGAAAGGTATGAATGAATGTGTGGTGTGTCTTATGTATTACCATTGCCAGGGTTGGTAGTGGATAACCCATAAACCAATCTTAGATAGTTTACAGTTAATTTTGACGTAAAAAAAACTGTCATGTTAGAATGGGAATCTCGAGTTTTTAATGAGGTTTTTGAATCATCGCCTAGTTTTGGTTTAAAATCTGCTAAATGCAGATTCGCTGGGTATTACAATTGATATGGGAATTTATATGACATTAAAAATCGAAGAAATCCTTATCTGAAAACAAATTTGTTTTCCCAAATCGTCAGGATCAAATCTAACTTTGACACATTATTCACGCTACCTAGTGTAAAACCAATGAGGAAGCCTGGAAGGTTATTGAGCGTCATATCAGAGCTACGATTGAATGTGCCAAGCTCACCAGCATCGCGGCTATGTGGTGTGATGAAGATGCCCGGTTGTTGCTGTTTTATCATTTCCCATCATTTTTGAGAGACCTATCTGGCTAATATGTCAATGCATTTGTCTAAAATTTCTAGTCTTAATATGGCACATTTGTGAATAACTTTCTATTTAAAAGTATGTTCGATCATTTTCTAGTGTGCGGACAATTCAACCAGAAGAACCGTTGACCGTGAGTCATGTAGTTCAAGTTGGAAGTGGTTTATGGGTTGCATTCTGTGATACGTGTAGTTTACATCTGTATCATTTGGATTCGTTAAAACTTTTACAAGACTTGAACTTATCTCGACCAATACGAGATTTTTTTCAAGGTAAGTTTCAAATTTTTTTGTTCAAATTTTTCTTTAAAAATGATTTCAATTTTGAATTTGTTTGTATTTGACAACTATGATATACTAGGGAAGCATACTTTAAGCTTGTGATAATACACGAATATAAGTGAAAAACATGATGAGGTACTTTCTGATCAAGCTTGGAAACATTGTGGATAACACCATAAACTGTTAATTTGTTGAATTTTTTTCAAGTATCTTTGTTGCAAAATATACAATATATATTTCCCAGAATAAAAATGTTTAATGCTGGGTGCTGGAGATAAGTATGTAGTAAAGTCAGATTGGAATGCTTTGGAAATTAGTTGCTCCCAGAGATGTCTAAAATGAATCGAGTATTCAAATCTTTACGAAATATGTTAAGTTTTGAAAACTGTAAAACGAATTACTGTATATCTTAACTTTCCTGCATGCCTTTTGCTCCGAACAAGTCTCAAACAAACAACCTGCGATGTGCAATCTAAATGCAATGCTCAATTTATGATATATTTCATATTCAAAAATACCACTTTAGAACGTGTATGAAATAATAGATTTTTCTGTTTTACCATTGATATAATAACGAGAATATCGGTTGGAAACCGAAGACTCATCGATCGATAGTTAGGGGATCCCCCAAAACAGAAACTGCAGTTTCGATTCATCCGCTCTTGTAACTTGCGCACTGCGCATCGCACACACACACTCGGCGGGTTTCAAAATTCTCTCGCTTTACAAAAATCTAGATCACTATATCAATAATTGATTGATAACTCGCTAATTATACGACATAATTCGCCCAAAATCAATAAGATTCTGGTCCGAGATAAGATGAATGCACATGCAAAATCTGGAGCAGATTCAATCCCGCTTTCGTGAGATATCGCGTGCATCTAACAGACACACACACACACACACAGACAGACAGACATACATACAAATACCTATCAATATACTTACCGATCTTAAGATCGATAAGTAACAATGATGGGACCTTGGAAGTTTTCTAGTTGAATTTTATTTTCATGTCGTTTCTGACTTCTCGATCAAACGTAACATTTTCACAAATTTTTATATATTTAGGTTCAGGTTGGACCAGTCGAGTGAATGAAAATTGTTACATAACAAGCATGTGGAGCTCGTATTGTCAATTATTAATTGGTACAAGTAATGGTTTGGTTTTAACAATGCCGTTACCTAAATTATCTGGATCAGTCCCAAAGATCACAGGTAAACCGTCTTATTTCCTTCGACAGTGCTGTTACTGTTAGGAAAGATTTTTCATCTAATGTAGACTACTCTGTTGCTGGGAGTCAGAGTTACTAAGTTTGCACTTGAGTTCGGAGCCGAAATTCTGAATTCCAAGGTGATAGGTATCAGATTTGGAATTGTGGACTTTTTATGATGATACAATAGGTTAAAACTCGAAAAACATTTAAGTTTACCGCGCTTTCCTAAAAACAGTCTATTAAAGAAGTCTCAAGAAGGAGTTTTCATCGTCAAAATTTCATTTTCTTGGATTTGTTTTATGTCTATTTTCAGAACTTATGATATCATTCAGAAACCAGTTGATAAGATATTATATGAAAAAATTATATTACCGTCCTAGCATCAACTCAATTAAACTTTTCGGTATCCGATAAAAATTTTCGATTTGATTTGCCCACTCCTAGTTAAAACACAGTGCTTGCTTTGTTGTTTCTCATATGTTATTAATTTTACAGGACCTTGTCGGATATGTTACCATATGCTGAGCGGACCTGTCAATTTCTTGTGTGCTCCTGCGATGCCACCTCCTAAACCTAAAAAAGTGTTCCGGTGGATTTCCCGCCTCCTCCTCCAGAAATACTCGAGAATGTTGTAAATGATGACGATGAAAAACCTCCAGAGATTCCGGAACGATCTCCTGTCAAATCTTTGTTCTCTTCTGATAAGTTTGGAAAATTTAAACACAAAAGAACGTCATCAGAAGGACTACTAAATGTGTAAGTATTATTAATGAAAGTTTTCTCCAAATGTGACTTCACTGACCTTGGTATAAAGGAAATTTGAAGACTTTGTGCTAGATTAGGTATTTGCAGTCAATGATACATATGTATGTAACATCTGAACAGAAAGATTTGTTTTTAGAAACCTGCAGCAATATCTTAAGCTAAAGATCTCTTATCTTCCTATAAAAACTAAAGTATAATTACTAAATGCAGTGATATGTTCAATATCTACCTCAATTAGGGAGAATTGTGACTTTTTCAGGGATAGTGTTTACAAGAAATTAAACTGCTGTGCCTGTAGGTTGTGTTTCCTTAAAAATGTCAGATACTTGTTATAATACATATAGTGAGCAAATGCTTGAAGTAAGCATATGAAGTGGGATTCATGCTATATTCTGGTTTAGGATAGATATAAAACTTTGACTTAAGGTTACAGTATTTAACTGAAGTGGGATTCACACAATTGGGACAAGTGTGGTGCAAGTAGGACACAATATTTTAAATATATCCTCCCATTTGTATGAGATTGCCCAAAATATTCCAAAATTACTTAGAAAAGATATTCAAAAATGTGACAAAATTTTATACAGCTAATTAAACCGCCAACAGTGAATGCACCCAAAATACGGTACTTTTATTTCAACTTTCATTTGAATGGAATTCTGATTTAGAACTAAAGATTTTATGCAAATTTTTCAGGACAGACGTATCGCCAGCATCCTCGTTCACAAAACCTAAAAAACGATTTTCAAGTGTTGAACCGTATTTTCATAACAATACAAATCGAAATTCTGGAGAAGAATTCCATAAACCACCTGCACTTCCACCAAAACCTAACACTCCAAGAAAAGACGAAATTGTTACTGAAGAGCTGTTGGAAGATGATTTTGTCTTCAATGCAAAGAAAGTGGAATCATTACCTAGCCCAACATCAGTAAGTTTGTGATATGTGGTTTCGTGGATATAGTTGTGGTTTCATATACAGATATTATGCTAACAGTTGATCCCTTTGGCTTTAGTTTACACTGATTGTTACTGTCACATCATTATGTCATTACAGGCTCCATTGTACTACTATAAATACTGATCATACATCTGTAAAAGGGAAGTCTGTCCTTGGCGATGTCCAGGAGTTGTCTGTGTTATAGCTTGTGTTATATGCGGACCGGACCCTTCAGAAAATCAGAACTCAGTTTAACTTTTATGTACAGCGCCCTAGATTACTGAAACTTCTGATATAATCATACACTATCTGAAGTGTTAAATAAGTTTCTTCATTTTTGTAGAAAAAGTTATCAAATTCATGGGTTCTGTTTTTTGTGTCACCCCGTACCTTCAAAAATCATCCTCCGTTGATTTTATCATAATAAAAAAGTGCGGAAGAAACAGATTATAGTTTTTCCACTCTAGTTTCACAATCTTTGTCCCACAATTGGCAAAAGAAGAATATTACAACTTACAAGACAAGACAATTATTCATTTCCTGTCCCAGAATATAAAATTTGTACTTGTCTTGTCTATTACCCATATGTTGTTTGTGAGACATATGTCAAATTCCATTTTAGTAAAAGTGCTGCTAGACAACAAATATTTGTTATGTAGTAATTATTTCATCATAGTATTTTTACCAAATACTTGGATTATTTTTTTATACAGACCAAAAAAACAGATTCCATGAATTTCTTGTCTATGAAAATGAGAAAAATTTATTTTACACTTGAATTTCTGTTTGTGCCCAAAAGTCTCGCTTTGCACAAATATTATTTTCTCTCCAGAATATGTTCCAAGTGAACGGGGTTCTATTTCTTACTAGTATATTTCTGTTTACATGAGAATTTTTTTTACAAATACAGTGCAATTATGAATTCTCATATTATCTCTGTTTTCGTTGGAAAATAATTTTATCTTTTCTATGTTCTCTGTCATTAAAATTTTCAGGAAAAGCAACTGACCGAATCCAGAGCTCGAAACTTTCCTGTATTATTAGCTTGCGGTGAAGGCTATAAATATCTTGGACAAGATGACTCAGGAAGTCCCACTGATACATCACATAGAGCAACAACGGTATTATGCTGGAAAATAGTGGTCTAGGTAGGTATTATTCACCAATTACTCAAGATAAATCCCAAGTATACATGGTTTTGACCATAGAACTGAGGACACACATCTTCTGTAGACGGAAGCACTTAACAAATGTAGTTGAATCGGGGCTGGTTTGAGTGAAAATTGGTCACCAGAAATTGATGGACGTGCTGTTACTCTTTAATAAATATAATTTTATGGTTCCTATTTTTTTATCCATTGTGATCATTCTATACATCATTTTACCTTTTAAGAAAAACCTATTTTTTTGGTTTTATGCTAGTATATATATGTACCGGTATGCTGTGAATGAAGCACATTTGTGATCAGTTTTGTGTAGATGGTACATCTGACTCAATTTTGGGGATTCATTGAAGACTTACATTACAAGTCGATGGATCAATTTTAAAGCTTTTTAATAAATGTTCATATGGTTTTACTTCATATGTCATTTATTAATTATCTCAGCTGTTTTCAGCTAGTGAAACGATATTTTTATGATGGATGGATTGTATCCCTCATTATTCAAATCTTTTCCAAATATGTATCAGTATGTCCTTTCATTTACCATTACTTGGTACGCCTACCAGGTTCCTACAGTACATTTTTTTAGCTGAGTTTACCTTTTTGAACTAATATTTCAGTATTTGCTGTTCTATCAATTTACATATATCTATACTTTTATATTTTGGTGACGCAATTGAAATATGTTTTAGCCTTCGAGTGTAAATGTTGTTCAGTTTTGTCCTGTTGCTTTTTGATGTGTTGTTTTAAAATTTTGTCTTCATTTTGGTACAGATTTAAGCAAGTATGTCCGTGATAAACTGTGTTACTGAATCTTAAGTGAATATATTGTTGTTTTAGTTGTAGTTCTGTAATTTTGCTAGTGAAAATAAAAATAAATTGATTTATGATATATATAGTCAAATTCAAATTTTAAATTCATATAAGTTGTCTGTCAAATTCTCATTGTTATATTTTTTTGTGGACACGAATTTTATATATAGGTCGTTTTGCTTATTGTCATTTTTTTTTTGCAAGAAATTGAAAAAGTTTCCGAAAAATTATGGTGGTGAAATCATGGAACACTGTTATCTATAGTTAAAAACCTTATGCTTTGTAGTGAATAGGAACCAATATGGGTTATAACCTTTGGCCTAATGTGGTAAAGTAAATAAAATAGTCACATAATTAACACTCTGACTGACTATGATGAATAAACAAAGAAGATGTATTTCAAAGTCTCAATGTTAATTTTCAGAGATCTAAAAATCCTATGCTTTTGTTAAATGTAATAATTCACTAGCTATATTTAAATAATTTCATTCACTTTGCATCGGTGTCTATACATCATCAAATCAAACACTAGCTTAGTAAATCACTGGCAACGATCACCTTAGCAATTGCAACTTTTATGCTATGCTTCATCTTGGTGTGTTGGATGGAACCAATGTTACCTTATTCTATATTTGCTGTAGTAAACGTATATCTGTATGTATTGTTGTTATGATCAAGATGCACTGTGCGCTAGTATATGCCACACTTGCTTAGATTTATTTTAATGCTGCAACTTTTGCCTTTTTTGCACTGTTAAGATTTGTGATCTATCAAGTAGATAATCACTTTATTCTAATCTAAACTATGACTGAAAATGGAGCATGACACTGGAACAATCAGCCATAAAATATTTGAACAGTAATCAATTAATATATGTTGATAAATTTTCGTGTTAGTAGATTACTTTTAATTAAAATTTAAATATTAGCTGTATTTCTTTAAACAAGAGCAAGGAGGGTGAACCGTTGCAAGTCACAAGGAGACCCACAACGTTTTTCCGATGACCCATCAATTCAATAATATTACAAACGATAAGGTGATGAAAAAAACAGTATTAGGAGTCGTTCGGAAAAGATACGACTCTTATTGATGCAAACATTGATTGAATCTATGACCCAAACTCTTGCTTTTCACGGTAAAAGTATAATGTGTGACCACCCATTCAGCGAAAAAGCTTCGTTATCCCTGATCAAGAGGGATGTACAGGCTCACTATTGTTAAAGCGATAAATAATGGATTTAAAATGTAAAATAAAACAATAAGCATAGCTGTACAATATTAGATCAAATAAAATTTTCACATTCTCGAAATTCAGATAGGCGCTGTAGCAAGTTTTGGGTACTGTTATATTACAGTAAAACACTTTATTTTGCAACTGGGTTTCACATGGATGACATACAATCATGAACTAGGTCATGACGCTTTATTTGCATTGATTATTGCTTAATTTTGGTGCTTAGTTGCGTCTTGTGAATGTATTTTTGTTTTACTCTTATTGTTACTTTTACATTCTCAATCTGTTTTTGTAGTGTGAAAATACTGCTGTAGTCGTTACTGCATAAATTCAATGATTTGAAATATTCAAATAATATTTTTTTTCTCGCTGTAAATTGCCGTTATTTTACCAAATGATTGCACTTTTTGCTTCTGCTTTTAAGTTAACTACATTATTAATACTGATATTAAATAAAAAATAATAAGTTGCTTATAAACGAGAACCAATTCGTATTTCTATGGTGGAATGAACTCACCGTATTCAGGATATGGTAGGACTTAAATTTCTTATTTATTCCGCGGGAAAGTAAAGTCGATTAGACGGATAATCACATGGGGGAAGCCGTACCCGGCCAGCGGTTACGTGAATCAGCCTACGACGGCGAGGAGTATATCTCCCATTCCGTATTTGCATATAGCATCAAAAGTACTCTATCGTAAGATATGAATTGCGAATCCGCAAACATTTTTGTGAAAGAAGTTGTACCTTTTTTACTACAAAACGTGTTAGATACCACTAAAAGAATGCAGAATTTTGCGTAGGTCAGATTTGGTTCAATTACGTCGCGTGTAAGGCGCCACGCTCGAATGGAATCACTAATTTTTCAAGTCGGTTCCTCAAGTCAGAAGCCGGTAGTCGGTGTCAAATTCACTAAAATTACCCCTCAAATGAAGAGGTTCCGCCACTCTGACGTCATCGCAAGTGAAATAAGATACAAGAGGCGAATATCTTATCTGTTTTGCAAATATCGCCCACTTGTGTGGTTTATGTCGAGAAGCGGTAATGGCCATATCCTGAACTTTTTTCATCGAGCGGGAGCATACCTTACTTCACTATAGAAATACCCGTCATTTGTGGGGGTATTTATCGTCTGTTACCAAAAATTTTCATTTAAGAGAAAAATGATTACGAAACTGTTGTTTACAATTTACATCATACTCAAGAAACTCGATCTCGACCTTCGACCCAAATGACACCCTCAACTGGTAATATAGACGGGGATGGACATATACATATTTAGGTCATTTTTTTCAATCTCGAAACTTTATCTTTCCGAGATCTAAAATTTATAATAGTGCAAATCTACTAAATGTTCGTAACACGTGATTGCATGATGTCAATTTTTGATTCCAAGTTTCCTTAAATCTTCATATGACAGTTTTTCTGATACTAGATATTACGAAATATAATCCGTATACAATCTTGCTTAAATAATTGGAAGAGAGTGGAGGCAAAATCAAATAAATACTTCTTTGGATATGGAATGGTTTATGCCACTAAGTCTTTGGTTACTACAGCCCAGTTTTTATATAATTATTTGTTACTGAATGTAAACGCTACTTTGCTATTCGAACCTAGGATTAGATTTCATGGAATGATTCAATCTTGGGTTAATGTTAACGAGGGTATGGTGGGGTTTAATCCAGGTTCGTGAATGCACTATTTCATTTGTCTAATGACTTCCTTACACGAAAAGAAATGCAAGCCTCATCCACACGTTGATCTTAACTGCATCAAAATTTCCGTCTAATTGCTAAACAACAAATTGAATGAGAAATGTTTGTTGTCTACACACCCAACTCATTGTGCGAAGTTTGAGTTAACGATGTTCCCAGGCCCGCGAGCGACCTCTGTTGAAGGATCTTGAATGAAAAATAAACTCATTTGGCGGATGCTATTCGAAATTTGTTTACTCTTGATTTTTAAACCGTATGAGTTGGAAACTTACATGTTATTTGAAAATGTTCATTCATATCCTAATGCAAAATTAAAAACGCCTATATATATATTAGAATATTATGGCGACGCAATCATTTCTTTAATATGCACGTTCCACTAGAGGGAGACAACAATCAAATATATTGAATGGTTTAGGTTCTACTGTAACCAACAATAGAATTCAAGATAGACAATTTAAAAGGCACATAAAAGACTTATTCCCTCATACGGGACCCCGCTACTACGTCGCGGAGAACTTGCGCAAAATTTATGTAAAATTAATCCCGATATTTTCTAGTATAGTTGACTATTCTAACTTGTTTTACAATTACCAAGTTCCCGGTCACGTTGAAAAGTGAGTCAGCATTCTATAAATCATGAATATTGAGCACAATGCAACAGTGAACAACAATCGGGCAATCTTCAGCGGAAAAAATACTTGAGTTGTGATGCCATTAATAGCAACACGGTTATGCAAATATGAGTCGCCAATATAGAACTAAGTCGACTTCAATAAAAGCATTTGTCAGGGTGCTAAAGCTTTCACTTTACTCTCTTAACATTCTGTGTATTAGCTCAAGACCAACAATAAAAAGAGTTCAAAAGACAATGAATTTTAACAATTTCCGAAAATAAATTTTGCAGTTTGTAAAATGATGCCATTTGAGGTAATTCAATAAAAAAAAACAATTCAGGAACGCCGCTTAAAAATTAACATCTATGTTCCTGTATTTTGAGAGAGGTCGTCATCATATTTCAGTCCGCATCTATTCAAACCAAATTTTGATTGCAGACTATTTATATATAAAACCAAATGTTAACTAATAACGTTGCGTTTTTAAAATTCTCTGGCAACCTATTTATGTTTTCCATCCACCGAAAAGTCTCATTGGGAAGTCTGCTTGCAAGGTGAGCCTAATTTCATCACCGTGTCATCCAACATCCGCTGCCAGGTCGAGTAACCTACATCGCGTCGTTGAAGATTTCGACGATATCTTCAAGTCGATCGCAGTAGAACATAAATTTCCCTAGAAGATTTCAATTCTCCTTTTTAAAAACCGAACCCTTCCATTGTGAAGTACACTCTATAGACAGCTGCAATGTGGCATCAAGTAGTCGAAAAACACGCAAAAAAGCTGTATGTCAACTTATAGTAACCCGTGAAATAGCTTGATCGTCCAAACGCGAAAGTAGACTATGACCATGTTATAATCGTAAATTTTGGTTGTTATATACTTGGCCGTGTAAAGAAATTACAATCAAGCACATATTTGAAGTTAAATTTGGGTTGGATATCAGATCAACCGATTTATCTTACCTGTATTTACTTTAACGGGAGTAAAATGAGCCTTCGTTTTAACGAAAATTTGCTTTTACTAAAAGGTAAAGAAACTCACTTAAAAGTGAGTCATTAATCCAATAAAAATGTCGTTCTTGGCATAAAATATTCCGATTGAAGTTGACTGTTTCTATACTTCGAGTATCAAGCATGGATTTGGCGATCATCAGCCAGAATTTATTGTGCAAATTCTTATATAAATAGGCGGCAGTGAGTATTTTAAAGCCCTTAACAACAATTAGTTTATATTTGAATTACAATTATCACCACAAATTTATCATTTTTATTATCCTTCATCCAGAGTGGAAATTGTCCTTTATTTTATTTCTTGTTTAGAATTTTGGAAAAGTTAGTTAGAATTTCGTGAACTTTACCTATCAGAAGCTGTCTGAAATGGTCAAATAAAATAGGTAAAATATTGGACAATTGGCCATTGCTTATAATTTATTGGACCAGATCAATATTTTTTTTTTATATTTTAGTATTCTGTTTTTATTCCATTTCCATTTTGACAATTACTCTGCTATGCTAATTACATATTTTTCCAATAAAAACTAATTTTTGAATCTTTAGCCATGAGAACATAGGCTATATAAATCGTATAAGTCCCAATATGGTTAAAGGTCCATCTGGAAATCAGTTGATTAAAATGTCTGTCGTTTTGAAGGCAAGTCATCCTTGTAATGCTTTCCAACAAATATCCGTCTCCGCACGAGCGCTACCGGTAGAAGAAACGCCTTCAAATTAAATTCAATATTTCCAGTTGGCGCGTGTTATTTTGGCGCAACTATTCAAACCCAACCGACCATATTGTGGGTATAGGAGACCACGGCACCGTGAAGAACGGAAATGTCACCCTCGCGACAGAATAAAACGTTAATTGGTTACGTGACGTAGCTTATTAAAATTTTCCATTCTAGATAACTTTTAGAATTTCATTGAGTGCTTGTAAATTACGAATGTATAAATTGGTGCACAATTTTTACTAAGTTTGACAAATTCAGAACCCATCAAGACTCTTTGATTATAAAGTATTATATGCAGACGGAACCTTCACTGTTCATCTTCATTTATCCAAAGTCATTATTCTCTTCTTCGTGGCGAGGTAAGGATTCCAATTGAACCTGACTGTCTAATAGACGCTCCTCCGACGAACCCCTCTTATAGTTTGATATAGCCTGACAAGGACCTGGTGTGCATAATTTAAATATAGAAAAGGTTCCCGAGTATTCTGTTTTCCATCCCATTTCTCTTCGCAAGGTTGTATATTCTATTGACAACCTATAATATGTGGGGTTAGTAAAATGAAGACTGCCTAAATCTTGCGTTGCATTCTCTATCAATAATTTCGGTTTTGCAAGAACATGGCCAAGTGAGGGTACGCATATCAAATTTTGGACCTCCCGAAGTAAGCGCACAACCTGAACTCAGATTGTGTACCAGGTTGTGCGACATCTTGGTGCGCATACTTCAAGAGCACACAAATTTGATTTCATAGATTCAAAATCTTGAAATTTATCCAAGTGTGGTTGATAAATGATTCAAACCCAGCATATGATATCAACTGTTTCTGAGCTTCTGTTTTTATAGTCACAGTATGGACATTATCTGCTTTTATAAGAAAGTCTTAATTAAAGATATAAGTGACATCTCGATACGGTAGATAAACTCTTGTCTTTAACATCATTTCCTTTTCTGGTCAATGTAAGAAAATAAATATATTTTCGAGATAGTAGTCATAATCATTAGTATGCTGGACTAACTATATTAGCATCGTGCTATTCTGGTCACTCTCTCCCATTATAACAATGATATGAAGATATGGCAAGCCAGGAAATCCAGTAGATTTAAACGTCTAATAGCTGTTTGATTTGATATTTCTTCACTCAGATACTTTTATTGAATTGAAAAATGTGAAATTCCATACAAACTGTTTTTATCTTTTTGCATTATAACAATTATCTATTGAGTGTCTGTCATTAGGTAGATTGATTTGACTGCCTAAATTCATTATAGTTTTGGGGAAAATTTTGATGAATTTGGTGCTTTTTTCTGAAAACATCCCGCATAAATTAAGCGCATATCAATGTTATGATTAAATGTCAGAAAAGATTATAATATATCTCTTCCGATTCATGTCTTGTCGCCACTGGCCAGGATCAGTG